CATATATACTATATTATGTAATACGACACTATTAGAAATTGCAGAAATTGCCTGTTTGTTTGATGTAGCATGAATTACGTGATATCTCATTTTTCTCAAAAATGGACTTACACCACTTTCAAAATAAACGGTCCATATATACTATATTATGTAATACGACACTATTAGAAATTGCAGAAATTGCCTGTTTGTTTAATTTAGCATGAATTACGTGATATCTCATTTTTCTCAAAAATGGACTTACACCACTTTCAAAATAAACGGTCCATATATACTATATTATGTAATACGACACTATTAGAAATTGCAGAAATTGCCTGTTTGTTTAATTTAGCATGAATTACGTGATATCTCATTTTTCTCAAAAATGGACTTACACCACTTTCAAAATAAACGTTCCATAGATACATACGTAAAAGTATATCGTAATATCATTGGGGCATCCTTTTCAAGGCCGGGAAGCACGAGATAAACGATTACCATATAAAAATCCACTGTCCTATGAATACATGATTTCATTCATTCAAAAAAAAAAGACCGAAGATACTTGAGATTTTTTTTAGAACAATTTGCATAAATTGAGATTAACTTTGAGAAGAATTTGCATAAATATAACCGGTTCGGTGGGCCGCCATTCAGTAGAGGATTTCAATATTTCGTCTCCCCCGGATGCTAAAATAAGAAAAACGATAGGACGGTACGCTTTTTTGGTCGATCTAATATTAGACGATGCACAATGGGGGTAGATCGTTGAGGAAGGGACACCCGACTTGCTTCGTAAGGGAAGACACCGAATGCACGCGGAGGGAGGAAAAATGATGCAGGGTTCAAGGTTCTATCGATCGATGGGAAACGGTTGATCGAGATCTCGTCTCCCCGCTTTCTGAGCCCGGTCTCTCTCCTGTTCGTGGCGCAACGAGGAGTTAAATCGTATGAGAAGTCAGCCGGGCAGGCAAGCGGGCAATCGATCGATCGTCCTCGGAAGAACGCTTGGCCCTGTTCTCTCGGCTATACTTCAGCCACGGATATACTCTTTGTCTTTTGTGGGTCGTGTCACGGTACAGCTGATGCCGTGAGAGCAACAATTTTTATTACCAACGTAATAGCGCACTCTCGTTGCCGTCGTCGGCGTCCTCACACTCATCGCACTGATTTTTATATGGATCAGTGAGCAATGTCGGAACATGGCTCACCCACGGATCCTTAGAATTTCCAAATGCCTTCGCCCTAACGTGACGCGAAAGGAAGAACAAAAATTATGATTTCTACAATATAACCTCGTGCGCAACAGCTTCTGGTTTTTCGTTTTTTTTTTTTTTCAGTATGGCGATGATTCTTGAAGGGGGATTATTCTTAT